TGAATCTCAAGCTGGGCCTGCGAAAGTCACTCACGGGAACACGCGGATCGGGCCATACGCCCAACAACCGCAAGCACTGGCGACTGAGAGCAAACGCGTAACTCAAATCTAAAAAAAAATATGATCGCAAAAGGAAGACGTTATTGCCTACATCTTTATTTATCGTTTCACGAAGTGGATGATTTTGTGTTGTACTGTAGAGAACGCGCGTTTTTTTTAGGTTCTCAGATTACAGAAAGGTTTCTGTAACTTTGTTAATACGGGAAACCAAAAAAAAAAAAAAGAAAGGATTGCAACTCAAGCAAATTTAAGTTGCGTGTCCAACTTCGCCAATTGAAAAAAACTTAGGAGTTTATTTGCACGTCGAGAGAGAAAATTTTTTGCCAGCCCTTGCGACGTAGTTGAATGTCAACTTCGATGCAAGATAAAGTTTCGTGGGAAGTCTATACACCGCTTGCAACAAGCGAACGTTTTTGTGTAATTTTGCAACTAAGAATTCAAAGAAGAACTTTCTTTTTATTTAATAAACAAACAGCAAATAAACAAATACTGTTTTATCGCGTGTCCTTGTTTTTTTTTGTATTTTTAAAGAAATATTTATTTTCTTTAGCAACAATGTATTGTATTATATAAATCTCTTGCAAGATTCCAAAAATAACAGATTGTCGCGGCGAGAACACATTTGTTAATTACCAATTTTTCTATTAAACACACATTGAATGCTTTGCGATAATTAGTAAATTAACTTCGTTTCAGAAATATTGTAGAATGTACAATAAGTAGTAATTAAAAGATGAAGTTTTAACACACTTCTCTCTTTTTATCGCACTACATGCTCTTTTGTCACTAGTATTTTTTTGTAAACTATCCGATGCACACACTTCTCTAATTCTTTCGTCAGGACATATATTCTACCTTCGTTGACATTCATCGTTCACGAAGCGCGAATTATCGTTTGACTGAGGTGGCTCGCCGCGATTCTACTCAACCGTCGTGATTTCGCGCTTGCTCGGTGTACGCGAAGGGTTTAACCCGCCACCATCTGCCAGTATTCTTACAAACCTCTTTCGGAAAATAATCGATAATGGCCACGAGTGGTAGAATATAATTAATGTGTGTCGCTTCCGATATTTTGTGAATATAGCTCGTGTGTTTTTCGGCAAATTGTCCAAGTGATGATGTTTCTTAACAGTTAGTGACATTGTAAGTAGAAACAAATAAAGTGTTCGATTTGCTTTGCAAAAGTATATATTGACAAATAGTGACTTATGATACTTGCGGCATTTTTGGATGAATAATCGATTCTTATTGGTTATACAATTGTAAATAAAAATAATATTCTCCAGCAGTATTTAGTGATATCGGTAAAGAGATGCAAACAAAATGTGAGGATCGGTACGCAGAAATATATATCATACACATCAAGAAACTTATGTTCAGTGGGTATGTATAAACCACAATTTAATAAATTGAATACGTCTTGTACACCTGCCACCAGATGGCATACATATACGAGCGTATTGAAAGAAGAAAAAGAAAGAAAGACAGGAAGTGTGAGTTAGAGAGAAAAAAAAGAGAAAATCAAGAAGCACGGTAGAAGTTCGCGTTATTCTCGCCGGCAACACCTCCGATAGTACCGATCGCTCCGGCAATGTTCCTCGCGGCGTAGTGGTTTTTGCGCCGGCAACACCTCCGATATAACTTTTTTTTACTAAACTGTTTTGAAACGTGACACAAAATAACTACAAACTATATACTGTAAATTTATGATAGAAAATTAATTCAGAAAACAGAATAAACAAAGTTTGCAGAAAACTCAGACCCCGACAATCTGTCGGTTATCTTCAAAGCGGGAAGATGTTTCGCGTCTTCTTGCGTACGACAAACGGTTACTGAGTTGCCACTTCTTCCTTTTTTTTCCTCAAACTAAACATTGAAGAAGATTCTATAGTAAATCGAAACGTTTGTAAACCATTAATAATCTTCGATAAAGAAAAATTTTACTGAAACATCAGGTGTAAAGCGTTATTGTCTTCTCCCTATCTTTTTATTAATTATTAATTATTAAAACATAACAATTATTAATTATTAAAACATAACACGAGCACGAAACATATAATAAGATTTATGTTTTAAAACACATCACGGATGAAAAAGCAGTGGAGTATTGTTTTGTCTCACGTTGCCGTCAATCTTTCATTGCCAACAACGCCGATAAATAACCCATTGATGTTTTCACTGTCTATACAATAAATAAATAAATAAATAAATAAATAAATACAAACAATAAATAGAAGTTACAGATGAAAAATATTTACATTAATGTGTATAAAACTAATTGTTTGATAAACTACAAATGTCTCTGTAAAAAAATACATTGAAATTACAATAATAGAAGAAAACGCGATATATTCCTTCTCTTGGATGTCTTACCATTCCGAACATCTCGATCGAAAATGTTCCAAATTTTCCGGCCGTCAATTTTAATGGATCTGCGGATCGATGCACAATGAGCATTAAATCTTTCGCGTCTTTCGGCGGCAAATCGTACCACTTGCATTCGTGCATGCCGTACGCCATATTAGTGCTCTGAAAATGACGTTTTTATTTTTTGCCCGCACAACGTGCGCACATCATTCCGCGTCGTGTGCGTTTTTACCTCTTTCACGAGCTTTTCGGCGGAATAGCAATAAATATACAAGTTCGATAACACAAGAACGACGTACAACGTGAGAAAACCTAGTTTGAAAATCGACACGTCCAACCGTTCCGTTATCATCTGAAAAATAACACGCGTTGTATGATTTAACCGCGCATTTGTTATTATAGCACTTGTTTTAAAATTTGAAATGTATTAAATTGAACAGCATGTAACAATATAGCGTTCATTTATTGATCATTTGTTAACTACTTGCCGTGTGAATTTGAAAGGTTTGAAAACACAGTTGAAAAGTTAGCGCCAGCATGTGCACGAGCAACACCTCGCTGTAGCAGTTGTCAATTAACTTTGCATTCCTTTCAATAATTAAACATTTACATGTATATTTGCAATATGTTTACATGTTATAATTTTTATATTTTCATATTACTGATATCTCTCGCCTTACTTACGTTTTTTGTGTAAGGCGAGATATATATTGCATTTACAAAGTAATTTTATTACGCGCACAAACGCGGTGAAATTAATTTTTACATTTTGCAATTTACAGTACGAAGTGCCTTGAAAGTTTGACAAACCTAATGAGATGTTCGTGGCGCGTGACAATCGCGGCCAGACTTTTCTTGAATCTCGAAGAAGATGCGGATTCGTCGACCAGATCGTTCAGCTTCTTTCGCAGAATTGTCAATTGTGCGCATACGTGGAGCACGAGTGCCGATACAAAACTGTCGACGGTGCAATTGATGAGACCTGTGTACGCACCGCCTGAGAGCTGAATGAAGAAGGTAATTTCGTAATTCGGACTCTTCTGAACGTTGTAGGGATAAGAGAACCGGTAGACGATAGGTCGTTGCGGCTCGTGCATGCTTCGATAGAACTTGAGGAGGTTGATGCACAGGTAGAACGCGTATCCGTTCGTCGCCAGCGCGTAACATCGAAAGGACAAACTTCTGCCGCGTTTCGCGAGCTTCAGCATTGTGTTTCGTTCCCAGATGTTGTTAGAAGAAGTTATCCAATCGTCCGTGACCGACGTGATCAGCGTCCGGAGTTCTCACAGGTTCGAACGAAAGATATTGATTGATACGTAGACAGTTTTTAATCAAGTTGTTTTAAATAAAAAATGGTTAAAAAAATTATCAATATTGATGGTCGTAATTTCAGTAGTTAAAAAAAGTTAAAAAAAACTTGTTTTCTATGTACGTGTGTTTCTTACTGATAACTTACTTCCGCCGTGATAGAAGGTGATGATCAATTTGCACATTGCCATCAAGCTAAAATTCGCGGATGCGATGTGTTGCACCACCAGAGTCTCGTTACCCCACGCGCGAATCATGTTGGTCAATTGCGGTATGATCACGTAGAAGCTTAAGATGCATGTGACAATCATAAATCGCAAATTGGGCCGACGAATGTCGCTCGAAGGTACAAGCGGATCAGGCCACACGCCCAACAATCGCAAACACGTGCGACTCAGACCGAACGTGTAGGTTAAATCTAAAAAAAAAAAAAAAAAAAAATCGATCGCAGAAGTGTCGTTGCTCAATTTGTAACTTATTATTATTTTAATTATGTATTACTATATTTTTTTATGATTTATATTTGCTACGACACGTCTCTATGTGGGAGGACTGCTACTCAGCGCGGCGGAGTGTAAAGGTTTTAGCTTCCCAGAAAATCAAAGGTTTTCGAAAACTTCGTATTTTTGCCAGAAGAGAAAAAAAAACGTTCTCCACGCAAACCAACCCTTAAAGCAACTTTAATTCGTGGCCAACTTTTGTTCAAAAAAAAAAAAAACGTTCGGATTCATTGTGCAACGCGTCGAGAGAGAAAAATTTTTTTGCCAGCTACGAAGTTGAACATCAACTTCTGCGAACTTTTTGTTGCGAGAGATAAAGTTTTGCGACAAGTTCTACATACACCGCTTGCAACACGTGGTCGTTTTTTTTTTTTCTGCAATTTCGCAACGAATAATTCAGAGAACTAATCGCTCGTTGTAAAAACAAAAATTGTTCGCTACTTCGTTTCGCGTATCCCTTGTGTACATTTAATCGCGCGTTTTTTACGTAATAGTAATTGTACAACATATCATTATCGTATTATATAAATTGCATTGTAAATATATACACGTGATGTGAATATTTTCCGCTTAAGGTGCAAGAAACGACAGATCGTGAACTCGCAGAGAACACGCTTGGTAATTGTTTATTGGCTCTTTTGATTATTATTCCACACATTGAATTTAGCAACTTCAATGTCTTCGTCCGATCAAGTAACTGTGTGTGTCTCGGAGATGTGGAATTTAAATAGAAACTAGAACGTGGAGTCTAAATGATAATTAAAGAAGTATAATTAACACATTCTCTCTTTCTCTCTCTCTCTCTCTCTTTCTTTGTTTTTTATCACGCAACGCTAGTATTATTTCGCGCAGCGTCCGATGCGAACTTATTTCTACTTCTTCTTCGCCGGTACTTGCATGTTCTACCTTCGTTGACACTCATCGTTCGCGAAGCACAAATTATCGTTTGACCGAAGCGCTCGTCTGCTATCACCGCCGTGATTTCGCGCTTGCTCAGTACACGTGTGTACAGGCGTTAACCCGTCACCATCTGTCAGTATCTCTGTAAACCCCTTTCGGATAACAATCCAATCGATAGCGGCCGCGAGCAGTTGCTGCACGTAATCACCGTGCGATCAATCGGATAATTTTTGAAACACAATATTAACAAAACCGTGTTTCGCTTCTTCGACAAGGATGCCGATCATCGATATCCTCCGTGAGTATCCGAGGATACTCGATTCTTTGGTTTCCCGCTCTCAAGCTTCGAGTGCCAGCAAAGAGACGTGATCCCGAATCAAGAGCGGGATATGTGGTGTAACAATAAGAGACACGTGTCGTACAAAAAAAAGACCATCATTTATTTTTATTCGATAAACTTACAGCCACGATACCGGTACGTGTACAAAAGAGCGAGAAAATAAATAATACGTAATGTGTTCGCAAAAAACGCGTTTTGGCGTTTTTTTTTTTCGGATTAGCAATCGCGCAAAAAGGTTCGATCGCTCTCGCGATTTTTTGTTCCCTCCCCTCCCCCCTCCCCCCCCCGACGTCGAAATACAATTACTTATATCTCGGTAATGCAAGCGCGAAATTTGATATTTCGGAAAGCGGGGAAGAATTTATATGATGATATATGCAAATCGAAGCGATAGATCGATTTCGCGCACAAAAAGCGCGCGACCATCAAGAAGAAATATCGCGTGAGAACATGCGGTGTGGGTGTAGGTAAATTTAAATACGGGGGGAAACGCGAGACGGACGCTCTTAACGAGCTCGCCCGCGTTTCTCTCTTAATTATTATAATCTATATATATATATATATGCCTATATAATCGTCTAAAAATTATACGTATGAGTGAATATTAAATAAAATCGCCTCGATGGCAAGTATGTACAATACGTGTATATGTTTGACTCGATGGCGACTTGGCCGGCGTTGTTAACTTAACGCGGCAATCAAATTGCAATGCGCTTTCCCCGACAAGTAAACACATTTTCACATTCGCGAATCGCAACGTCCGAACGCAAATTTTCCGACCGAGTCGCGAACTTTCTTTCCGCCGGCAGCCAAAGAGAGTTCGCGCAAACGACGTTGGTTTTCACAGACCGTGTTTCAAAATTCACTGCCGGTGCTATTTAAAAAAAAAAATCTATAACGCGTTATACGATACAATGAAGTTAAACTGTCTCCGATCATCGGACATTTATTAATGAAATTAGTCACGTAAATATTAAACCAAGCAATTCTCAACGTTTCAATTATTTTTTAAGATGTGTTTTTTTTTTAAACAATAATTTTCCCAACTTTGCGCACACAGAAACAAAGTTCTGCCGTTATAGTTTGTATATGGGCAGCAGAAAACATTTGCCGAATCTACAGAATTGTTTGTTTTATCAGCAAGCAACATTTTGTTGGGGAAACAAAACCTTCAACAGGCTTGGCAAATTTTTTCATTGAGTTATTTGTTTAATAAATGTTCGATTACCGCGGGTGATAATTGTCTCGGGTATTTTACGCATTTTCGATACCGGCGGTTAGGTCTCTCGAAACACAGATTTTTCCGTTCTCGCACACGATTCGAGAAAACTGCGACGAGAAAGTTTTTTTTTTTTTTGTTTTTTTTGTTTCTAAAAGAAAACGTTGGTGGGCCTCGCCTGCGGGCACAGGAAGCTGGAACAGTCGTGTCGCCGCACAGCGTTCATGACCTCCTCGAAGTGACTGGACACGTGACCGACCGCTCCGGGCTGGATTCTGCAAACGGATTAGCGGATCGTTAGAAAGTCGGAGACACACCTCGACAAATGATCGACATCGTACGCGCGGCTAATTACTAATTAGGCGCGCGTTGGATCGCGACGTTTTTTAATCTATCATTCCGTCAAATGACTGCTCGCTCTAATTAACTCGCGTTGATTTTTCTTCCTCTTTTTTTTCCCCCCCAAGACGCGGTGAAAATGCACGCAAGCTGCTCCGAATCGCGTAATTTGTAATAATTATTATTAACTAAACGAGCAATCAATTTGTACAACAAAAAAGAAATCGCGAGAAACGAATATTATTTCTCCTTTTTTTTTTTTTTACGAAAGTTGTAATTACGATGATGATAAGTGGAAATTGAAATAAAAGGGAAAGATGTTGTTTTTGTTTTTCGTTCGTTATCGCAAGTCGCTAGTTTGTGTAATTCGCTAGTTTTAGAGATGCGGTCTCGCATCGTCACGTCAATTCTCATCACGTATGTATGTGAGAACCGCTCGCTCGCGAATATAGCGTGTATTACAACACGCGGTACATGATATAATGCTGCTCTCTCATCGTTGTTGTACACGGATGCGCGCGTTCACACTGAATCGAATTGAATAATAGGCGCCTCACGTGTTGCTGTTGTTAGTGCGGGAAACGCCCGATAAATGCCGTATTTGTCATTAACAACTCGCTCTCGAACAACAAACACGCAACATGCGTGTTCTCTCTCTTTCTCTCTCTCTTCAAGATCTGATACGTTACACGCTGCGAGACACTCGTCTTACGGCGCGACTCTCGACAAAGAGTTCTTTTTCGAAAGAAAGCCGACGATACGCTTTGATATTTTTCAAGAGCGTCTTGTTACACTTTGATATATTTCTATATATGTTATTTGAAATAATATACTTGAAATAAAATTTATTAGATTATTTTCCACACACACACACACACACAATAGAGAGATTTGCTCCTTTCTCTCACTGTAAATTGTTAATATAAGAACGTTTGCGGTGACATCAAAAAGTAATTTTAATACAATTTTATACGTTATACAATTGTTACGGAGATTAAAATATTATTTTTTTTACTTACTATAATAATATATTAATATAATATTACAATGCAATAATACATTTTACATATCGTAAAATATTCTTGATGCAAGTTAAGAACGTGTCACCGTGTAAATATTTTTATAACAATATATTTTTATAATAAAATGTTTATACACGACCAGAGAGAAACACAAATCTCTCTTTTTTGTGCGAAAAGGAATTACATAAATTTTACTCCAAGTATATTATTTATGACAGTTTTTTTTTTTCACACACAAAGTATATCTCGACAGTTTTTATCAGAAAAACGACAAATTAGAATTTTACACGCGAGTGATGAAGGTTAAAATGGCGAACACACACGATCGTCCGGTCTTTTTCTCGGCTTTCGATTGTTTTTTCTCTTCTTCTAACAACGTGTGTTTTCTTATCTCTCTCTCTCTCTCTCATTTTCTCGAATTGTCTTCTTTTTGTTTCTATTGTGCACGTAGTGACCGGCGCGATATCAGAAACAAGGCGCAGCGTCTGCATATAGTGAAACTGTGCTAAGAGGTAAAAGTCGAATCAGTCAGTAGGACGTCGTCGGCGAAAGCTGGAAGAAAGTTTATATCCACGAACTCCGACTGTGTGTGCAAGTTCCGTCCGACTCTGTTATCGGCGAATCCGTTGATACCTCGATTACTCGACAGTTCGAACTGATTTATTTATTTTACCGATCGCGCGATTTCACGAGGAAATATTGTCGCGAACAATATTTTGCTACGGCAAAATTGATGCGAAACTAATTGCGCAACAATATTCATTTCTTGAAATTCCGGATCGCGATATTTTTTAAAATTGAATTTTTGCTTTTAAAAACTGACGTCGACGGAATAAATATTTTTACAGCAAAATACTCACACTCTCAACAAAGCCGCCATCTTCTTCTCCATTATCATCGCAGAGTCGGGTCCTCTCTGGATCATCGCGTCGCAAAATATTTTCTTCGCGCAAGGTGTGTTGGTCCAGTCGCCTTCGATATGAGCGAGTTCGGCCACTTCGACGTTATCCAGATCTTGCAGCGCGTCCCGATCGCTCTCGACGTTTCGTTTACGCCTCCCGTTGTCTTCCTTCTGAAAATTCGCGTCGTTCTCTTCGTCCTTTACCGTTTCCCTCTCAAGATCGCTCCGTTGTTCGTTGTTTTCACGCGTTGACGCTAAGTTCTGCGAGTTGTCGATGTCCTCGACGATCTTCGCGCCTTCGTTCTCCAACGCGTTCCGATCCAACGACGTGCGATCCGCTCCGAAAAAATTCCGTCCAGGCGGAATTCTCGAGCTGCCGTCTTCGATGACCAAAATCGTGTCTTTGTTCGAATGTTTCTTCTTGCTCTTCGGGATCAGAAATTCGGTGATGTCGATGCGACTCGAACCGGCGGGCAGATCGATCTCCACGATCTCGCTGATGGAATCCGCTCCCTTCCTCTGAAACCGTTTGTTACGCACCAGGTTTCTCACCTCGGTGTCCGTCTTGAAAATGTCCAGATAATCGAGACTCCGTTTGCGTCTACGCCCGCCGGTTTCCACGTACTCGCCCTCGTCCACCACTTGCTTGCTCTCTCTGTTCTCGGTTCTCTCGTTGTTTTGTTTGTCCTCTTCGAGCACCAGGAATACTCCGTCGCTGTCCGTCGAGTCGGCGCTCTCGTTCTCCGCCGGTTTAACTTCCCGAGGAACATTTTGCAGAACGTAAAGCGTCTGCAGAGTCGCTCCGTTCGGAGTTCCCTCGGAGTTCTCTTGGATCGTCTTCAAGTACGACCCGGACTCTTCCAGGGCTCGCTTGTGCTCGAGATCGAGATCGTCGACGTTCGATCGCTTCAGAACGTCGACGTCGAGATACCGACCGACCGCAACGGCGCCAATGCCGAGAGCGGCGCCGGACGCGACCAGACCCAGAGCCGGTATCAGAATGCTTGTGCCCGATGCCACCGTGCCGATCTTGTCCTGTGCCTCCTTGCCCCTGGACAGACCGAGATTCTGCGAGATCTTGTGCGTGGCCTCCACCAGCGGATCGATCACCGGCCTGGTGAACTGCGAGACCCTCTCGACCCCCGTGGAGAACTGATTCTTCAGATTCTCCGAGATCTTCACCCAGAAGGGCGGCTCGTTCGGCCGTTTCAGACCGTAGAAGTGCTGATTCGGATAGTAGTTCTTCACGGTGTAGGTGTCCACGATGTTCTTGTCGTTCAGCACGTACTTCTTCTTGTAACGTTGTTCGGTGGCGGTGAACGAGTGCTGATTCTCCGGGAAGTTGTCGGGCCGTCGTTTCTCGTTCTTCAGAATCTTGGCCGGTTGCACGCCCAATTCCGGATGCGCGTACTGAAGAACCGGGGCGCGCGCGCCGGGTTTCAGAGCCACCGGCGCGATCGTTTGGCTCTCGGGTGTGTAACGCTGCGAAATCGGATAGTTGGCGATCCCGTCCGGGTGAAGCATCCTCTTGTGAACGCTCGCGCGATAGTGCTCGTTGCGCGGCTCGTACACCTCGGCCTTCAGCGCCTCGTTCTTGTAATTCCTCGGATCCCACTCGAAGTACACGTTGCGCCCGTTATCGTCGTAATTACGGCTGTATCTGCGGCAAACGAAAATTGAAAAGATGATCGAGAGCGCGTCTCGGTCGAATTTAAGATCGATCGTCTTCGTATAAAATGACCAATAACGCGCCCGTGTGTATTTTTATTAATAAAAAATTTGCCGCGCGACAATTTATTTGAAAACAATTTAAAAAATTGATAAAAATTAATTCTTATTTATTATTTTTTTTTTTTAAATAAAATATGTTAAATAAATGTTAAATATATTATTGATTGTTATTGATAGAAATGTGAAATTTATTTTTTAACAAATTCGCACAGTTTTTATGTAAAAATTTACCTTCGATTGACGTCCTTGAAGAATTTCTCGAACTTCTGTCTCTTTTCTGCGCCGTCGGCGGAAAAAGACCCGACGACGGAGGATTCGCCGGGACTTTCCCCTTCGGTCGCGGTCACCAATTTGTTATTAATAACTCGGGCGTTTCTCCAGGTCTGTATTTTGTCAATTGGATCGTCGGGCACCCTCGTGCCGTGAATCACCGGCGTCCCGTCGACGTCCAGCGACATGGACGATCTCTTCGGCACGGCTTTAACGCTGATCTCCGACCGGATTGTCACCTCCGGCGGCACGTGTTTGCCGTCTCTGTTCTTGGACAAGTTGGCACCGATGTTCGTTCTCGTTGATGGTCGAGACTGATGCGGTATGTACGTGTAATAAAAACCACGCTCGTTCTTGCTTCCGCTTTCGTTCTCGAGTTCGAGATTTCGCTGAGCCCGGTCCTGAAAGTTTCTGGCGAGCACAATACCGCCGCCGATCTCGGGCTTGTTGAACCTGCCGTAATTCGTTCTCTCATTCTCGATGATTTTCGAATCTTGGGGCGGCAACGGCTTCCAGTTGCGATATTCCTCCACCTCGTCCTCATCCGTTGGCTCGTCCTGTTTCAAAACTCTTCCGTTCGCGTCCAGCGGCGTCCAGTTCCCGTAATCGATCGCGCTGTTGTTGACAGTCTGACTCCTCTCGGAAGGCAACGCCGTCTGATCGGTCCGAACAGCGTCGTTCGGTTTTTCGTCGTTTTTCGGTTCGGAAATTTTCGAGAACGTCGCTTTGATTTGTTCCACTTGGGCTTTCTCGAGCCTTCGGACTTCTTCCTTCTTCTTTCTGGCCTCGTCCCCGTCGTTGCTGAGCTTCGTCACGCTTTGGACGTTCGCCAAAGAAGAATTAGTCCCGTTCTCGGCGGTGACATTCGACACTTCCTGCGGAAGTTTCGGCGCGGAATTGTTCGAGTTGTTGTTGTTGTTGTTGTTGAAAACGAACGACGACTTGTCTCGACGCTTGACGATCAAAGTGGCCAGGTTTCCCTCGCTCGTTCGCACCTTCAGCTCCTCCGTCTCCCCCGGAAGACTTCGGGAAACCTTCAACATCGTTCTAGCGTAACCCGGTTTGGGTAATTCGCCACCGCGAGCGCTGAGCGCCAGTGTCGCGAGAATCAGAAGAGAAGTAATCTGAAAGAGATGCGATTAAAAAATTCCGCGACTCTCTCGACATTTTCTTGCTAATCTGTGTGTTTTAACATTTCTCCACGCATTAAATTTCGGAGAAATTTTCCAGTGAAAAACCAAAAATAAAATTAACTCTTAGAGGAGCGGCATTTTTTTTTTTTTTTTTTTGAAGTGAAATCTTGTAGATTTTGTATCCAGAACTTATATAAACATTTACACCGCGTGTTTTTTTTTTTATGCGGAAATTAATGGAATTGATTCTCACAGCCACTGCAGTGGCTGCCGGTTCCCTAAAGGGTTAAAAAAATTTAATTATTTTACAATTGTCTTTTCTTTTTCAGAAGAACGAAGTTCACGCGTACTCAATTACACTTTGGAGATAAAATAAATTTAATAATTATTTATAATAATTTTAAAAATTTATCAAAACATTGAGAGTTTGGTGTCGGCGATTACAAACGCAAAGATGAGACGGAAAAACGTGATTGTGCGAAACATTTGTAATTTTTAGACGTGCAAAAACTTTTTCGCCTCTCACTGCGATCTCACGACACGACCAATTGTTTGATAATTTCACCGACACTTGGGGTGACGTGACGGATCTCATCAGAGATATTGCGCGTCGTAATTCTTGCGCGAGCGCGAGCATGCGTTTGGTGTTGCGTACATGCGATTGCGTCGTACAGGCGATTGAGGAACGGCCGCTTGGTGCTTGGAATGTGAAATGAGTTGAAAAAGATTTTTGAAAGTTTCGGCCTTACACACACTGTGTGTGAGAGCTTCCTAAGAGAGAAGAGCTTCGTGTTCGCGCGCGAAAACAGAAGACGAAACGCGCTTCTCGAAGCTCGCGAGTTTCGAATTTTCGAGCGATCGAGCGATGAAAACATCGATGTCGAAATCTCTCGACAACGTTCGCAAAACGAGTCATCGAACGAGTCAGCTCAATGCCTTTCCCCTCCCCTGCCCCCCCCCCGCCGCCCCCGGCATTGAGAGAAATTTAATAGCTCGCGGAGATTGCCGCGGATTCTTTCCCGACATTAGAAAATAGCAATGTAGTAACTGAGAGCGGACGGGTTACTTTCTATTATATCAAACTTGACGATTACCCCCGATTGAAATTACATGCGCATCCGTTCCGTGTGTGAGAGAATCTCGCGCGGCGAAAATTATCGCGGCTGACTCATTGAGGCGCCTGTTGTGTAAAGTAAAAAAAAAAACAAAAAAACAAACAAAAACATCACGGCGAAAATAAACGACGAACGGACATAACGGAACGCATCGCACGCAAATATATATATATATATATATATATATATATACTATACGTGGAACGCGTTCAAGTCGTCGGCAGGTCAAAATGATTCGTTCGGGAATCGAGCGCTTCACTCGCGCGATTATTCAATTCGCGCTATCGGTCATCTCGTTTCGAGCACATCCTGTCTAGAATAATCGCCCGACGATCATTAAAACGACAACCGGGCATTTGCCGTGGCGTTGACGTTGGAAAAAAAAAAAAAATACTTTCTAATCGCGCGCGCGCGCGCGCAAGCGCAAACATCAGGACAAAATAAAATAAAATCGTGAAAGGTGGTTCTGGACCGCGCGCGCGTGAGCCATCGCCCGCAAGTGAAATGGAACGACATGCTTTCCCCGTGCACGTTTTGCCGCGATATACGCGCGTGCACTAAAACTCGTCGTCTATACGGTCGGTGCGTTCTGTGCGTACGCGTACGCAGCGCGCGGAGTACGCACGGTACGATCCACTTTTTCCATTCGAGTGAACTTTCGATCGCCAATTGTCAACTGTTAAACGTTTCCGACGGAAACAAACGCGGCGGACTGTTTTTTTTTTTTTATAATCGGCCGTACACACATTATTTTCGTCGTTATTGTTGCGAGAATTGAAACAAAAATATTTGACGAGATTTTTAAATAATCTCCAAGCTATTGCGTTTGCGTCGAATAATTGACAAAAAAAAAAAAAAAAAAATTGCTTCGCAGATCGCGAATTAATGAATTTGTTAAATTAATAATCCAACTGGAAGCACACGAGAGAGAGAGAGACAAAAATTGAGTAACAGAATATTGTCTCCCTTAGTTACGTTGCGTCATTGACGATCCGTCTGTGTTGCGATTACTATCTTTCTTTTTTTCCAGGTCTGAAATTATTTTATCTCGAGACTACAAACAATCCGAAATTATTTCTCAACGCATCGAAGAGACACGCCGAGGCTACAATTCATTTCTTCGCACTTTTCAGGTCGGATTTCACCGTGTATGTGTGTGTGTGTGTGTGTGTGTGGGACAAAATCTCGGCCGGTTTAATTCCGATGAACTGGTGTGTACGCATTAAAGTGCATCACGCGCTGGAAGAAACACATGATACAAACGATATATGCGTGGCACCGATGCACGTCACCTACGGTTTCCGCTCCAGAAAGTCCACAGGTCGACGTTAATTGCACGGCAATTACTCGTCGATCTAGATCTTATTTTTTTTTTTTTTTTTCGATGTCGCCCACGCGCTTACAACGCGTCGACCCGCGATCGACCGGGGGCTTCCGTCCGGGCACGCGTGTCGACGATCGATTGCGCGCGCGCGCGCGCGGATGTCGTAAAGGATCATCATCATCATCATTCCGTCGGGATTGATCGCGCGTCGATCGATTCGCGCGTGCGGATTCGTTCACGGTGCGTTATTGAGCCGATGGCGAGCCGAGATAAGTCCCTCGTTTGTATACACACACGCGTATATATATATATACGTATACGTTTACGTAATCAACCAGAAGCGACGGCTTATCCTTTCTTTTCTCGCGGATTTAATTAATTACGTCGTTCTTCTTAGCTCGTCTCCCGCATTTCGCATTCATATGTGAGGCGATTCACAGGCGATATTGCGCGTAGATATCGCACAACGCGTCCGGTTGTGTACGCGCGCATTTATCAATCAAACTTCCTCCTAATTAGCCGCCGATCGCACTTAATTGCTCATAAATATTTAACAATCGAAGACTGTTGAATCAAGGACAATTGTTTTTTTGTTTTTTTTTTTTCACGGAGGAAACCTATTTTTCAAACACAGAAAGCAACTTTAAACGCATGAAAGTTAAAATGACGATGAGATCGCAGAAATGTTTCGCGACTCGTAGTCGTGTTCTTGTCTCGACCGAATGTTTTCGACCGAAAATGTGTACTTGGCGTATTGTAGAAAATAAAGATTGGAAAAAAAAAATAAATCAATTTACCTGGCATTTTCCCATCGTGTTTCTCGAGAGAATCTTCCTTCGGCAATCTCCAGAAAAAAAAAAAAAACAAACAAACAAACAAATATACGTGGAACAGCGAGAACAATTACGAAGAACGTCCGGGAAGGACTCTCTACTCCTCACAGGATCGCATAATTCGCGAATAATAATCACCCGAATTGTTGTCGCGAAACGAATCTCTCCGACTTGACTCTTGAACGAAGAGAAAAGAAGAAGGAGAAAACGCGAAACGAAACGACGTATCTCTTCGGAGGTTCCGCTCCTACGCACCTGTTGACTCCCGGAATATCTTGGCAAGACTGACGGACGCGCACAGCCGTTGGCTCCTCGTGCGCCCGACCGACGTAGGAGAGCCGAGACTTCTCTCCGACCTACTTCTACTCGCGCCTTCGCCTTCTTCCGTGGCCGCGCGCGAGACGTCCTCGCTTTAACCCTTTCCGGGTCCTTTTTGCCAAATCAGCTGCTAGGAAACAAGTTATCTGACAAGACGATTAGAGATCGGCAATTGTCATTAGAAAATATATACCGTTACTCTCCCACGTGAATTATCATAGTGGGAGAGGAGAGATCGCGCGATTCGGAAGAGTGGGAACGTGTGTGTGTGTGTGTGTGCATGTGTGTGTGTGTGTGCGTAATAAAATACCTGCGACATATTAACGTTTACTGATTTTTTTTTTTTTTTTTTTTTAATAAAGAACAAATGATTTCTGTTTGAGCGTTACGAGCGGAAGAAAAGAATCAAGAGAAGTTCTGCAGAAAGTTCTTTTTTTAGAAATTCGAAATTATAATCGGTTTGCGATGCCGCGGCTTTTTTTTTTTAATTTCCTCATATGGTCGTAAAAATTGCGGAGAAGAGAATCCGCTTAATTTGCAGTTCGATTCATCATCAAAATGTCAATCCTTGCTTTGTCAACAAGAAAATTTTATTATGCAAATTAATTAATTAATTTTTTTGTTCACATTATCGCGTGTCGGCCTGTGTGCAAAAATTATGGAAAATATTTTGCGTGTAAGAAAACTTGTATATGGATGAATTTTTTTTTTTTTTATAATTAGATAATCAATATAGAATATTGCGATGAAAAAAAAAAAGAAAACGTTTCATCGGCGAGAAATAAAGAAGAAGAACCCCACTCTTTGGGACGTTTCTCCCCGCACGTATTTAATGCAATTTTTATTTATGCCGTGACGAAATTAATTTGTGGAAATAATGCGACACTTCCGTTTGCTCCAATTACCCGATCATTGCGAGACAAATTTGCATATTCAGGACGACGGTCGGGCCACGTCATTACATCTTTATCTCCAGTTTCTTCTCCTCTTAATACTTTCTCGGTGCTCGTATTTCGCGCTTCATTTCTCAACTTTGCACCACTTTCATTTCTCGGACTCGGAGCTCTCAGAGATTTTCGGATTGCAAAATTTTGTCATTTTACTAACATTCCCGCACGCTTGATGTTTTTTTTTTTTTTTTTTATCGGTCTCAAAACTTTATATAAATTCCAGGATCCAGCTGTTTCGTCTCGAAACTTTGATATTTAATTTTCGACCTTTGCGTTTTTTTTTTTTTTTTTTTCAGATTGTAAGTTTTGATTTCTTTTAATTTTCAAAGTGTGTGTGTGCGCGCGCGCGCGCGAGCCGAACACGCGACCGCGATCTCGCTGTGAAGTATCTCGAGATTAGCTCATTGTTATAACAAATCGCAACCGTTAAAGATGTCACCGTTTTTTTTTTAATTGCAATCCCGAATGAATCAAGATGAAACAAAAGAATAGACGGACGATCTCTCTCTAATGACAATGTGTTGGCGACTCGCTTCGCGCACGCACCGTTTCGAACATTTTTAAACTTGGTCTTGTTTTGCTTGGCACGCGTTTTAATTAAATTTGCACACACACGCTCGACAACAATCTCGGTGACGTAGTATCGCATCTTTGTATAAATGCAATAATCGCGCGCGCGCGTTTTGGAAACAAACGCTGATTGATTGAATTATCTCCTTTTCACAATCGCCCTTACCCCGCTTACGGATTAAATAAATCATGTCAAACGCGCTATATACGTACAGTGTTCTTTTTCCGCTCGAAATGACTCATCAGAAAGAGACGCTAAAACGGTAATTATCGCATCTCGCCGCGCGTTTTAATTGTACGTCGTGAAAACGCATCATCTTCTTTTCTTTTTTGCATCGCGCGTTAGCGAGTTTTAATTATCGGGCGCGCCACCAGATCTCTATCACGAAATTCCTGAGTCGCCCGAAACCTCGTCGTCTCTCGGCAGCCGGTTTAATTTTCAAGTTCACGAACGAGACGACGACGCGCCAGGCCGGTTCGGCGGAGAACCGGAAGAGACGCGTTCCTCCTCGCGAGAGAGGTCGCGGCGGAGTTCAGAGACCCACCAGTGAAAGTCGATCGGTTAAATGACGGCGGCGATGCACACACCTGTGTAACGTCCTATTCTTCTTCGCCCGCGGATATCACGTGTTCTCTTCTTTCTGACGAAATCTCTTTGATTTTTTTCTTTTTTTTTTCTTTTTTGCTTTCGACGATCCAAACGAGAACGTTTGTTGCGTTATTTAAAGTATATGTTTTAAGGAATATTTATTGTTATTATCAAGACCAAGAGTATAAAACTTTCACCTGGTTACTATTGTAAATGAAGTCTTTGGTGAAATTAAGCTCGTTTTTTAATTAATTCACATTGTGAATCCTTGGAAAAACACAATGTTTTCGCGGACATCTGATCCTGTAAATCACCCACCAAACTTGATTTCGAGCGATTTTTTAAAATGAGATGTCTCAAAAATTATCGAAAAACTAACGGGGAAATTTCTAGAAAATAAAAAAAATATCAAAACTAATATTATTTTCTTAATTTAGAATGTTGAATAAAAGTCCACGAATTTTTACAAATGTTTTGCAACGTTTTGACCAATAAAAAGTCACGTCGGACATAAATGTCAGGGTTTACAAAATTAGGATTGAAAAATTTCTGAAATAAAAATACAAATACGCTCGTGTAGCGAGACAACAAATAAATATAACAAAAAAATCATAGATATATATTTCGAGCAAAAATAGATGTTACGTGTATTTAAACAAAAAATTAGTCTCTTAATTTCTTTTATCGTGTTGTTATTATTTTGCGACTGAAGAAGACTCTTTAATTAAAAATCTTTGATTTGTTCAAATTTATTTTTAAAATCTATTTTTGCTCGAAATATATCGGACCTTTGTTGCATTATGGTCGTGAAATTTTTACACCCGACAAATCTTCCGAAAACCACTTCGATTCTTTCGATTTCTCACGGTTCGAGAACCGCCGCGAGTAATATAGATCAGTAGGTAAGTGTGGCCCGTAGTAACGCATACACGCGAAGAGGAGAAAGAGAGAAATTGCAGTGTTCCCTTGAATGCAGCACGTGACTAATACAGCGTATTATCGCAGTTAACATTTATGACAGTTGAGTGTGTGCGCTCCTCGCGTGCTTTGATCATTTTTCTTCGCGTTCTCGCTTCACGTCATACATATATTTTCAATTGCGCATTCGAAACTGCTAATTTTAGCGCAAGTAATAAACCGTTCAACGAGCGTTGCGTGCCGGACATTTGCCGCGTATATGAATTAATTTGTCTCAAATCCTCGAACAAAAGTAATTTAAATACCGCGCAAATAAAATTCATATCGTCGAGATTATTAGAAAGGGCTCCAGTCTCCTCGTTACCGAGGCCTCGTCGTCGGCGATTCGAGTGTCTTGTTCATTCGTGTCATTGTCTTCGCATCTCTCCGGCAGACGAGAGATGAGATTGTCTAATTATCGTGTCTCGGCGAGGAGAAAAGTCTTGGTCCACGAATGGCCGACTAAATCACGTAACGAGTTTCTCTTTTTTGCCTCTCCGAAGGGTCAACATCCGGTTTTCGGCACATGTCTTGTGAAAAATTCGACGCGCAAACGCGCTCGGCAATGAGTGTTAGTACGTTTTTTTTTTTTTTTTTTTTGTTTCTTTTCCCAAGCGCGCGAACTCTTGCGCGTTTTAAAATTTGCTTTCGCGCGACGACATGTAAATTAGACGTGT